CAACCACTATGGAAAACTGTTTGGAGGTTCCGCAAACTGCTAAACATGGAGCTTTCCTATGACCCAGCAATCCCACCCAAAAGACACAAAAACACTAATTGAAAAAGATACCTGCACCCCCATGTTTATTGCTGCTTTATTTACAATTGGAAAACCATGGAAGCAGCCCAAATGCTCAAAAGATGGATTCAAAAGATGTGGTACATATACACAATGTAATATTACTCAGCAACCAAAAAAATAAATAAATAAACACATGACTTTTGCAACACCATGGATGGATGGAGCTGGAAAAGATCGTGTTTAGTAAAATAAGCCAGAAAGAAAAGGAAAAATACCAGATGGTTTCACTCATAGCAGGAGTATAACGGGCCAGGCGAGAAAATTATAATAATAATGAACAGCTATAGACCAGAGACATTTTATGGGGATGGAGAGGGGAATGGGATCAAAAACGGTGGGGAGGGAAGTGCACAGGACTATGGTGAAGGCACGTGGGTGACTTGGTGATGGAAGCACAAGGGGATTGCAACTGAGATGGAAAAATGCATAAAATGATGTAAAAATAAACTATTATATTATTTTTAAAAAGGAAAAGAACTTCTATGAAGCAAGATGCACCCTAATAGCCCCTTTGATGTTTGAGACATACTCAATTCAACCAAACTCAAAACAATGAAAGTTTTCAATGTCAATGATATTCATCATGAAACAACGATCAAAACTGATCGAGGAATTAATGTTTTGAAGGTTATTTTTATAGTTAAGAAAATGTTATATTTAGGGCCTCCCTGGTCCCCTAGGGGTTAAGTCTCAACACTATCAATACTGCAGCCCGAGTTCCATCCCTGGCCAGGGTGCTCACCCACATGGCACAGCAGATCTCTCCTGTCACATCAGCCGCTCATTCTCCTCTCCACTCTGGGGGAGGGTCTCACACACCCTCCTCCACACCTCTGGCCTGTACCCCCATTCTTCTATTAAAAAAAAAAAGGTTATATATTTAGAATTATCCAGCTGGTCTCAGTTTAGATGTGTACAACATCCAAAACATCTTAGTCAGGGGCCAGAGCAACATGTGCCTTCTTCTGATCAAGGTGTGGACCTTGGCCAGGTCATTGCCAAGGAGCTCATTCAGGATCTGTTTGGTCTGGTGCTTTAGGCCTTAGCCAGGACCATGTGTTATCATCATGGCCGACTGGCTGGTCAGGAGAGCCTGATGCTGGCAAGTGGTCAGGTTTGTTTCCCCTTGGGAGTGGGGAGACTGGGGGGTAGGGGGTGGAGGGCTCTTCCAAGGATATCTGGGTTGCTGCAGAGACACCATGTTTTGGGCCAGGTTGACAAGGAGTAGCAGTACTAGCAGTAGCAGTAGTAATAGCAGTAGTAGTAGCTGTGGACACATTTCTGCACTATTTGTTGGCCTTCAAAGTTTTTGCTTTTCTTGACTCTGGGAAGGAATAGGGCTTCCTTCTTTATTTTTGAAGCTATCTTTGTGAAATTAACTTTTGTTTCAAGTACTTGTAATACTCTGAATTTTTAACTTATTTTATGTGGGGTTAATTTTGAGCTAATATTCCCTTTTTTAACATTTTCCATATTCAATTCTCTACAGGTAGAGATCGTTTCTGTTTTAAATAATCTTGTCACAACATATTAGCTCATAATAGAAACAATAAAGTATGAACATTTTATTTACTGAAAACTGACTGTTAGCACCATACTGTCACAGAAAAGTATCTGTGGGAGTTTGAATCATTCTGTACCTCAGCAAATATCCACTTCTTATTATTATGGTCACTCATTATTTAAAAGCATATGATGAAAAATGTAGAACTTATGACTTCAGGAATTCTCAAAAATTCCCAGAAACTCCAATTTGTTGTTCCAAACTATTAAATACAGGATGTACATGAGACTTGGCTTAACGGGGAGCTACTTCCACTGTAACTAGTTGGGGTCAGGCAGTAAAACACGAAAGTGTTTGCTCATCACAGGAAAATTATGGATTAAAAGAGGCAGAATGTGAATTATTAGGAATTTCCAGGTCTTCTGCAGGCCAGAAAGTCTTGTTTTGGGCGGAAATGCCTTACACACAGAGAAATTGTTCAACTCCCCGTGGCCTTCAGGTTAAGCACTTGCAAAAGGCCAGGAGGGTGTGGGTGGCTCTGTGCCTCCTTGGAGGATGCCCTTTGCCTCCTTCCCCAGCTGAGCTCACGCAGAAAAGGGATCCATTTTGTTCATCTGTGTCCAGAGGGTTCCTGCTAACTGCAGCTTGGGCATTCCTTAGCCCCATAGCTCCCTTTTTTAGGCAAAAATTATTTGCTGAACAATAACATTAGTCAAATTTGCTTTTCTCAACCTTTGTATCCTACTTTCCTAAAATATTACATGTAATAAATAACAATACATGCTTTTTTTAAGATTTATTTATTTATTCATACAGAACTGGGGTACAGGCCAGAGGCTTAGGGGCAGCGAGAGGCTTCACCAGAGACAGAGAGGGTAGCAGAACAGGCAGAGCTACGAAGTACACTGCTGAGGGGAGCAGTGGGCGGGTCAGGAGAGTTCTGCCACGCCATGTGGATCTCCTCCTGGGCAGGTGGGGATCGAACTCATGCGGAAGTGGCTTAAGCTTCTTTTGCAGTGCATTAACCCTCTGCGCCACCAGGGAGGGCCCAAAATGCATGCTCTTTAAGATAAATTGAAACGGGCCTTCCCTGGTGGTGCAACAGGTTAAAGTGCAGTACAATGAAGCTATCTGCAACATGAGTTCAATCCCCAGCCAGGGAGCTGACCCACATGGCACAGCAGACCCGCTACTACCCTCAACAGTGTGTTTCAGTCAATCTGCCTGTTCTGCTCCCCAACTGCCTCTGGTGAATTCTGTTACCCCCCCCACACACACACACACAACCCCTTTGGTCTGTACCCCCAGTTCTTATATGCATAAATAAATAAAACTTAAAAAAAGATAAATTTAAACAATGCAGAAATATATACATAAAAAATAAGTTTTCTCCTCCCTCCAAGCCTCTTCCCTGTATTGGCATCACAGACTCTACCCAGAAGAGAAGGGTAAGTTTCCTAAATTTGGCCTACGGACAGCTGGGAAAGTTTCTATGTGGAAGTCATAAGTGTCAAGGAAGCCCCTTCTAGCTATGGGCCCTCCCATCTCCCTCTGCCATGGAGGTTGGGGTTCAGGGGAGGCCTGGAAGTTTCCTCAGCCTTGCTGGAATGGGGGTTAAAGGAGCTTTCTCAGGCATCATGGGGTGGGATCCAGGCCTCTCATTCAGGTGAGGCTGAGTCCCAGGACACTAACTCTACTCTTCATCAGCCTGCACCCCTAACATACTCCCTGGGCCCAGAATTTCTGGCAGTTACCCTCACACCAGATCCCAGAATTTTCTAAAAACTTGCAGATTATGCCACCCATACTTCTCAGCCATGCCTATCTCAATGTGAATTAGGCAAAAGATATATGTGTGTCTGTCTGTCCAACTAGCCTTCTCCTTGTGTCTGTCCTGGGAATTTATCTTTCCCCATTTCTAGGTCATAGTTTTTGTATCTTTGAGATTAGAGTTGGTTTATTTCACCACTTAACAAAATAACTTTGGTTCTTTCCCTTTGTTACTTTCCTTTTTCTTACTCAAAGGCCAGCAATGACAGAAAATACAGATAAGCAAAAAAGGGGAAACACATATTAAACATATAAACCATGCTACCCACCCCAGAGGAGCTCGGGTGAACACCAGAACATGTGCTCCCCTCTCCAACTAACAGGGTTTCAACAGAGGTGGATTTCACCACACAGTATATTTATAGCTCTCTGATTTCTTCTACTTTCTACTTACCTTACATGGTAATGAGTTTAAATTTATCTCATTGTGTTTAAGCCTGCCTTGTGTCCCAAGTCTTGGTAGGATTTCTGGGAGCAGCCCACTCTGACTAGTGTTTAGGCTGTTTCCATCTTTTCACTGTTACAGTGCTCTGGATGAGAGAGAGAAGGAGGGAGGGAGGGAGGCTCAATCTAGCTGTCTGTCTTTTCAGCCATGATGCCTGAGGGGAATGAGGACCTGGCACAATGACCCTTTTTACTCCTTGGAACAAGCGGTTTCCTTTAAGGAAGGTACTTTTCCGGAAAACATGTTATTTCAGGCCCTCCTGGTTCCAGAACCCCTCTGTCCCAGAGAGAAACACCACCCAGGTTGCAGGGCCAGGAATGTGGAGAGAGCAGGGCAGGGTGGGCCCTCCTCCTGCCAGTGGGGCCAGCAGGCTCTTCCCTGTCCGACACCCCTAGAGGGCAGGAGGGAGACTCGATGCCTCTGCATTACAGGGACACTCAGGCCCAGCAAGTTAGTGGAGGTGGGGCAGACCCAGCCCTTTCCCCTCTGCCAGGTGGACCCGGGGAGAGCAGGCCTCTCCCCTGCCCCTTTGCAGCCAAGACTCTCTGGGGTGGAGCTGGAGGGAAGCCCTAGGAGGTGAGGGGCAGGGGCCTGTGCACTGAGCTGAGAGCCACAGCCTCTGCACTTGGGAAGCCTGGGAGGCCTTGTGGGCAGCTCCACAGTCCAGCCCTCAGCAAACATTTTTCTGGGCTGAGGCTTGTTTGGTTGCCCATTAAGCATTAACCCCTCAAAGTTAGAGATCCAAGTGGGAGCAGGTGGGAGCTAGGCTTGTTCAGGGAAAACCAGAGATCTGCTGACCTTGCAGTCGCTTCACCCTGAAGGTGTGAGGTGGACCAGTGGAGAGCTGCTCGGCTGGGCCTCCATGGAGAGGACAGTCCAACAGCACTGGAAGCCTGGACTCAGCGTCTCAGAGCTGGCAGGTCTACTCCCTCGGCTATGAGATGGAGGTGATGAGGCTGTGCGAGGCTGATGAAATGACAAAAGAGACCAGAGCCTGGAGCATAGTACAGGCCAATAATAAGAGCTAGTGGAAGTAAGAAAATGCTGCATTTGGAAACTGGGAGCCAGGGTTGAAATGTGGCACCCCTTCAGATTTCCAAGGTGACCTTGAGCAGCTCTTTCCCTCACTGCCAACTGACAAAACCGACTTTGCCAGCCTTCGGGTCTGGGGCTAAGTCTCTATCCTTACCAGACCTCTGCCTTCTCGCAGGGTAGAGGCACTTCCAGCTGGCCCCCCCTCTCCTTAGTGCCACAGTGTGGAGTGACAGGAGCATCTCAGGTCAACACACAACACAGACTCACCACACACACAGACTATACACTCATACACCATAGAATATATACACCCCACTGCACATGCGCATTCACTCCCCACACAGACATGACTCACTATGGGGTCACTCTTCATTCCGCAAAATCAGAATCACCAAAGTCGCTATCCACACATGAGGTGCAAAACCCGGGGTTTGTCTCCCTGTTCCCTTTCACCAGCTCCCAAGACTTTCGACCAGTTCACCACCCTCTCTGAGACCGACTCCCACACACATTTCACTGAACATATTTTTACAAAAACATTGTTGTTTGTCTGTAGTGGAAGTTAACTGGAGGTCTCATGCTTTTGTTTGCCAAATCTGGCAACCCTCTGCCCCACTTTTCTGCCCCTATGTCACCCCACCTTCCGTCCCTTCTCCAGTGCTCCTCCTCGGTCCCTCCTTTGTGTGAGTGCTCCAGGGGGGGGGTGGCCTTGCTGGCCTTTCTGGCTCCAACACCCTGTGCTCCTGGGAAAGCTTCCCCAGCCCCCTGGGGACCCCCTCACTGGGGTGGCCGCGCCCAGTCTTCCCCCACCTTGTTTCTGGCTTCTTCTGTAGGGACCCGATGTTCCCCTCTAGCAGCAGCAGATTGTGCCCCTGGGGTGTGTGCTCAGAGACTACCCGCCTGGCTGACAAGCCAGCTGCCTCTGCTGCCTCATCACATCACCCAAAACATGCTGGTCACATGAGGCAAGAAGGGCTGCCCCTCCGGAGCTGGCCATGTCCGACCTCGTCTCCCTGTGCCAAGACAAGCTGAGCCACTCACTCCCTGCCCCCTCCCCCACCTTCCCTGAACCTTGGCTCATACTGTTCCCTGTCTGAAACACCCTCCCCCACACTCTGCTTGTTGAAGTACCCTCCTTAATTCAAGTCCAGTTCAAGGGCCACCTCCTCTGAGGTTTTGTCAGGTCTCCCTCACCTTGGGCACCTGAGAGTGTTAGTGGGAGGCTTGTGCAGATCACTAAGTGGAGAGTTCATGGATGGCTGAGACCGGTGTGGCTGACTCCCATGCCTCCCCAGCAGGGCCTGAGGTCAACCCTTGCTCAGTCAGGGCTGTGGAATGGGGCATGCTGAATGCCTGGGTAGATGAATGAGCGAACAGATGAGTGAATAAATATGTGGATAAGTGAGGAAGACTCAGTGAGTGGATGGATGGAAGGAGGGCAGATAATGAGTGAATAAGAGGATGGATGAGCAAATGAACAAATGCAGGGAACTTGGGACTGGATGAGGTTGTCCCTGCAGCTGCTCTACTTTGTTTTCAGAGATTCCAGCCTGCAGCATCTCCCTCCACTGATCCAAAGGTTGTGAACACTCAATCAGGGGGCTGAGCCCTGGGCCAGGTTTCTGACACTTGGGTACAGGTAAAGGATACCCAACCTAGAGCAGAGCTGACTCTTCTTAAAGGCAGAGAAAAATCTAGGTCCCCTTTCTTCTCCCTTCCCAGATCTTGTACATTTATCTGTACCTACCCAGACTTGCATGCCCAGGTATTTCTTTTTGCCTGGATACCCTCACCATCTCTGATGGGTCTTGTAGACTGCACCACCCAGAGCCCTTGAAGGAAAGGGCCTGCCTTAGCTGCAGCGTTTCATCTGAGGTCACCCCATGGGGCAAGGGGCAACATGCAGAGACTAGCAATGGTGAGGGGATACTAAGATTCTACATCATAATTTGACTTCCTCTATCCAGTCCTTTTTGTTCCTCCTTCCCCTCACAGATCTTGATCCCTATAAGCATCTTGCACCCCAAGTATGGTCTCATTTTGAACACCAAATATGGTGTTCATTTTGGAAGAATACAGCCTGTACAGCAGTTCCCTTAGCTCACAGTTCCTCTCTACAGCCAGTTTGCTTCCCACACCTCCACGAAGGCCCTGCTTGGGGGGCTCTGGGATCCGGTGTGACCCAGATGTGAGTCCCAGATGCTCCTGTCCCTTGGATGCAACTCTGCCTTCCCCAAATCCCGTCTCCCCCCCGGCCCCCCCATCCCGTCCCACCAGCCTGGCTATCCCCACCCCCAGCCCTCTGCATGGCAGCAGCCCCAGGACTCCCTCTCTGAGAGTCCTTTCTGTGGCAGACATGTGGCCAGGGCAGCCTCCCCGGACACTCTCAGAGGCCAGAGCCCCTCAGGCTCAGCCCCGCCCAGGAGGGAGAGTGACCCACTCAGGGCTAGATGCAGACCTAAAAGCCAGGCAATGCGCCACATCACATTCTTGAAATGTGGGGCAGCATTTATTTCATGGGCACAGAGAAAACAAATTTTCTGCTAATAAAAACTGAACGTCTCTTCATTCGTGATGAAAATGAGTTTTGCTACATGATCTCCATGTAACATAATATCTTAACTTATTTGGAATAATCTTTCCGTTCATGATTTTTCTTTCATTTCTAAGTGACTCAAGTCACCCACTCTAAGAATAGAAGTGATCTGTTAAAACAAGAAAGTCTCATTCAAAACATGCTAAAAGTCTTCTTGTAAATAAGACTTTCCTGTTAATAAAACATCTCATACTTCCTGTGACTCTTATTTCTTCTTGTTTCCTTTTGTGGCTTTTCAACTCCAGTTCTTGTGAGACCCATAGAAGGATATACACTTTCAATTATAAAATAAATCACTGGTTCCCAGAAAACAGCTTTTTGGTTTCAGAATTTCAGGTCTGATTTCAGACAAATGGCGGCAGGACAGGCCTTGGCTGGACTGTGAGCAAGATGCAAATTCAACTGGAGAAGCAGGTACGAAATGAAACTGTCCACTTGAGGGCGCAGCTTCCTCTGGTGGCAATTGAATGAGTTTGGTAGCTTGGTAGGCATCCTGGAGCATCCTGAGTTAACCCACACCCTGTTTACAACAGATTCCAGGGACACTTTAGTGCCCTGTGCAGACCAGATGAGCCGGCCCAGGGTACAATCCAGCGTCGAGTTTAGTGGCTTTGCAGAGCCTTCCTAAGAACTCTTCTGGAGAAGGGTCCAAGGGAGTTCTCAGAGGCCAGAGCTCACTCCCACCTGGTCCCACCACCTCTGATCGCCTGACCTCGAAGGCACAGCAAACTGGGTAAGATGGCTGGACGCCAATGGCTGGAGGCAGGACAGACAGGAATGCCAGACTCTGAGGAGGGGACACCAGGAAAGGGTCGCTGGAGGGGGCCATGGTCACTGAGTCAGAATCCACCAGCAGAACAGTCTTGGTGGCCATCAGGCCTCACAGGAAGGTCCAGAAGTCCCGGGCACCAGTCGCTGGCTGGGTGTGCCGACCTGGCCCTGTGAAGAGAGAAGCATCCTGGCGAAACGTGGCCACGGTAAAGCTGTGGCTTGGATGCCCCTGAGCATCCTGGGCCCTCGAGTCACAACTGAAGCAGCAGAGGAGACAAGTGATGGCCACGGTGACCACAAGCAGCACTGCCACCACGCCGATCACTGCCGTCTCCATGGCCCAAGTGGCAGCCGACCGCCAGGCAGCCTGGCACGTCCTGGAGTCCCAGCTCCCCAGCCGAAGCAGCGCTCCTGTGGTGGGGTCACCCTGCTCCTCCAGCAGCTCTCCCACTGATCTTCTAAAAAGACACTAGTCTGAGGCCCTGGCTGGTGTCCCCTCTAGGTGCCCCACAAGGCGCTCCCTGGCCTCTGTCATTGTTTTCTAAGCCTCAGACCAGGCTCCCACTGGGCTCGACTGGCAGTTTCTGGCAGAAGCCTCATCCTGATTGACACACGCGCAAGACTCCTAGGTCAGAGGGGCTGGAAGGAGAGAGCAGAAGACTTTGCTCAGAGGAAGCCTTGCTCTCTGGTGATGCCTACGAGTCAAGCGAGTTTGTACTGTCAGAGAAGAAACAAAATAAACCCTCTCCGTGAATCTGAGCCATCTCCTCCCCGCGGAGAACCTTCGGCCAGTCCTTGAAGAGCCTGTCTGCTGCTGCTGAGTCCCTGGCCCCGTGCTGGGTAGGGCAGACACTGGAAGGGTACCAACTCTGGCAAGTGGGGAGCACTGGCAAGCGGGGTCCCCATGAGTGCATGGGGAGCCTTAGGCAAGATAGGGGGAGTTTCATTTGCCTCCTTTTCTGAGTAGGGTTGGGAGAGCACTATCTAGATGGGGCAGTGCACCTCCAGCCTGGGGGCTTTTCAGCTCCTTCCATGACACCCCAGGGCTCTGAGAAGCCCTCTTCACACTGACTCCACCAACCCTCCCTCCTGCCTGTCCCACCCCAGCTCACTCAGCGGTTGTGACCACTTACCCTGGGCTCCTGTGCTCTCCAGGTGACAATTCTGGCTGTGCTTGGTGCCACAGCCTCCTGACCTGGGGCTACTCAGGCCAGGCCTCCACTCACTCATCCCTGGGTGCTGCTGCCTGGATCCTGCTTGGGGATAAGCTCTGAGCTGTCTGTGTAACTGTCAGCACTTCCTGAATGCTGATGTCTGAAAGCCGTGAGCCTTCCTCCAATTGTGAGAGAGGGCCCAGGCCCTAACAGCTGCGGCCCCTGGGTCATGCACTTACCCCACCCCCACCCGTGCACACTGGCCATTCCAGGCCTGCCCCTGCCTGTTCACCACCTGACCCCTCACCGGGTCAACTGCATTGAAGAGCCTCTGCTCAGCCCTCTAACCTACCTTGTTTAGATTTTATTTTCTGATTCTGAGATTTGGGGACCCCTTACCCTTCTTTGATTCATCTGGGAACTTGTCCTCTGGCCACCCCCATAATAGGCATCGGTATGTGGGTGGAGGCTGTGTGCATGAGAGTAGGACCTTGTGCAGACAGGCACAGCTGCTTCCAGAGCTTTTGGGGGGTTTTTATGGGACCTCACACAATCATGTCCAATGTGACCTCTGAAGCCCAGGCCACAAAGAGTAACTAACCCTTGATAAAGTTGATTCAAAGAGAACATGGCCTCCCTGCTCAGTCCTCTCACCCCTCACCATCCCCACCTGCCCCAGTCGGTAACCAGGGCAGGGCACCTTCAGAGAGTAGATGAAAGAGAGATACTAAGCTCTGTCCATAATTCAGAGGCATTTTCCCAGGTTTTTCCCCAGCTGTCACTCTTTCTATTGCTTGTGACCCTGTGACACTCAGCCCTGCTCATGACCCCAGACACAGTGGGGGTCCCAAAGATATCTCTTAGAAGAAACACCTGCGTCCTCTGGCCTCCATCATCAACCAATCAACAAAAAGATCACGTCCATGGGCCCTCCCTGGTGGTGCAATGGGTTAAAGCACCACATTATGAGGCTCTCCGAAGCCACTACAGCACAAGTTCGATCCCCAGCCAGGGAGCTGACCCACATGGTGCAGCAGACCTCTCCTGGCCCGCCCACTGCTCCCCTCAGCAGTGTACTTCATCGATCTGCCTGTTCTGCTCCCCACTCTGTCTCTGGTGAGTCCTCTCACCCACCACACCTCTGGCCTGCACCCCAGTTCTGTAAGCATAAATAAATAAATCTTTAAAGAAAAAGAAAAAAAAGGTCACATCCACTGACATTCTCAAGGAAAGCATGGTGGCAGACCCCAAACATAAATGGAAGCTGGCTCTTCCATTGGCTCTAGGCCATGCTTAGGAAAGGCCACTAGAGCCTGACCCCCTCTGCACTGGAGGGGAGGAGGCGATGTCCAGTCCAACAGCAGGCTGCAGGCTTCCATCTGCTCCTTGCTTCCCACCATCCAGGCCTCCACCCCTAATACCGAGAAGATGCAATAGGAGAAGGAGCCCTCAGAGAGGCCCCTGGAACCCAAAGGCCTCTTGGCGCCTCCTTGCAGGGTCTGACTGTTCTCTTCAGAGTCCCTTGGGCCCCAAATGTCCATCAGTGCTTATTCCAGTCTTATGTACTTTTTCAGACTATGAGACTTGAGAATCTGCGCTGAGCATCTTCTGTGTGGGCTGGTTTGTGAGGGGTAGAGGGAAGGACTAAGGGGGGTGTTCAAGGAGTTCTCAGACCTTGAGGGATCGGTCAGTGCTCCAACAGACATAATCACAAACTGGAAATAATAATAAACTGGAAACCCACAGAAGAAGGCAACACAGTCCTCTAGGGCAAAAGCGCAAGGAGATTACATGTGGAAATGTCTGTTCCTCACTTCTTGGGGTACAGAAATATACCCATAAATGCTACATAAAAAAGGAGTTTTCATGGCTGCCAGCCTTACAGTAACATATTTCTCCTACATAGAAGAAAAAGGAGGGAAAAAAAGGTGGGGGGCGGGGAGGTGAGGGTTTTTCTAGAGTCAATGACTAGTGTGGTATGGGGAGGGCTGAAGCCACACAGGAGAGACCCAGTGTGGGGGCCTCGGACACCCAAGCGCAGAGAGGAGTGTAGGCAGCTTCCTTGGGCTACGTATAGAGAAGCTGCAGAAAGGGCCATGGCTGCCGACAGGCAGGCCCGGAGGGACCCGGCAGGAATCAGGCTAGGGGTGTGCTAGGGCAGGACTCAGACAGAGGAGGGGGTGGGATTGAGGGTCGCTGCAGAGATAAAGTCAACCATACACAGTGACCCATGCTCTACTTCCTAGCCCAGAAACCTAGGTGGCTGTCCATGTGAATTTCCCTCCCTCCCACTCTCCCTCAACTCCCCCCACCACCAGCACCAGGCCCCACAGAGCCTCCACCAGGAAATAATAAAGAAACAGGACGTTCTGTTCCAGTGAGTCACCAGGCCCCTGCTTCCGCCTATTTTGGCGCGGGAGCCATTCCCTCCTCCACTGTGCCTGCGCCCAGCCTCTCCTCCCTCCACGTCCAAGCCCAGCTCAGACACACAGACTGAAGGCTTCAGAACAAGGTTTCCTTCCTCCCTGTGGGATCCTGCCAGCTGTTGTTGGGGTGTTTGGGAACATACCTCCAGCTCTGTCAAGAAGGAGTCTCTTTATCCACCCCACTTCAGGGGAGAGGAAACTGAGACCCCCAACAACACAAGCCCTTTTGCGAGACCACCCAGCACCACATCCTCCAGTTTAAAGAACCCCACCCTTAAAGGCCTCCCTTAAACCCTCCCAACCCCAGCGCCACACACAGACGCCAGTGAGAGCAGGCTGGCCGGAGACTCGAGGTTTGGATGAGAAACGGTGACCCAATTTCCAAGAAATAGTGACTCCAACACAGCCCACGGATGGGGTTTCTGCAGGCCTGGGCCGGGCTTGAAAGCGCACTGTAGGGAGAGACCGGAGGCCGGCCTGGGCCACCCCACCTCTCCTCTCTCTGAGCCCCAAGACTGTCCCACAGGAGCCCAGAGCCCCTCCAGAGGACAGAGAGCCTTCTCTGGGCAGGGCTGCTTGCAAACCCTAAATCCTCCCCCAGCACTGGGGCCCCACACCCTCTTACCTAGGGTCCATGGAGCACTGCAGCACCCACCCGCTTCCCTACTGCACAGGCAGCCCTCAGCCCCGGGCAGAAGCCACCTGCCCCAGGCACTCACATCCCATCAGAGAGGGAGGTCCCAGCAGGCAGACACAGGCCTGGAGGTTCCCTCCCTCCCACTTGAAATGCAATCAAGAGACTCTTCACAAAACTCTCTTGGTGGTTTAGATTTTCCTGTATTAAAGCACCAGTGAATTGACCGAGCAGCTTCATCCTGCCTTCTCCAAACAAAAGAGCATTCCCAGGGCCCCTCCCAGCTAGCCCCCTGGCCAGAGGCCTAAGGCAGTCTCAGGACAGCCCTTCATAGGCCCAGCAAGCACTGGTGCACAGGATGGACAGGCACTTTCGGGGCGCCAGGAGTTATAGTCCTAAGGTGGTGTCTGTCCCCACAGCACCACCCAGCTCTTGCTCTCACCCTTCCCGTGCCCTGGGCCACCCCAGCACTCCTGCATTCTCCACCTCCAGAGTTCCAGGGTATAGTCTGCAAATGAAGTCAGTGCAGGACCAGGGAGCAGTACCAGCCTTCACCCCAGAGAGGTGTCCTGCCTGGGAACATCAAGGTCCACTGGTCCTGGCGACGGGAGGGCGGGCGGTGGTTGCCATCCACAGCCATCAGTGGTGTCCCCGGTGGGCGTGATGGTGGGCGTGGTGGTGGGCATGGTGGTGGTGGGCGTGGAGGTGGTGGTGGAGGCCCGCATGGTGCATGTGAGACACATGGCCAGGACGATGGGGGTGATGAAAGCGTCCCAGGTGGCCCTGGCCCCGGAAGAGCCAGGGATGAGCCCACCGGACTCGGTTTCTCCTTGCAGCTGGCCGGTTCCGCTCCACGTCGGGGTCCTGATGGTCGTGGTCCAGGCAGGCAGCCAGCACCAGCAGCAGCAGCAGGACAGCCACAGCGGCACCTGTGATCAAACCCAGGAGGGTCGTGCTCCCCAGGAGGCCTAGCATCTGGGCACTGGACAGTCCCTTGCTCTCAGCAGCTCCACAGCTTCCTCCCCTTCCCAGGCCTCTGCTCAGCCTTTGTAGTCTCTGGACTTTGTTGTCTCAGCCTCTGTGGGCTGGAGAGCAGCCAATGAATGCAGGCGCAGCCCAGTTGAAGCCTCAGGCCAAGGGCAAGGCCAAGACTGCTAAGTCTGGGAAGGCCCACAGGGAGCTGCATGGGGTTGGGGGTGCACAGGCAGGGCTGTGCAAGGAAGAATTGGAGGCAGGAGTGGGTCCTCAGGCCCCATCCCCCCACCGGCCGGCCCCTGCACCTCAGTGCTCTCCTCTTTTTTTTTTTTTAATAAAATTTTAAAAAGAGGCCCTCCCTGGTGGCGCAGCGGGTTAAAGCACAAC